TCACTGAAAATGTCGTCTGCTAGCAAGTAAACAAAGGGGATAACTCTTCACAAACTAATGAAAAAGGATTAACGGAGTTGTCTCTCTTGAATGAAACCAAGCACTTGATAGCTGGTCAAGGTTGTTTATACTAGAAATCCAATTAAACATATTCCTAAATTCTCAATAATTTCTGATCATACCATAGTGATCAGCAGCGTGATCATCGATCCACGCATTTGAGATACGATGACATGTGTCAACCAAGTCAGCGAGCCTGACCACCCGATCCCGTTAGTCGCCTCTTACGACAAGCACGGGTTGCTGAAGACCAGTTCTAACCGGGTGCTTCAGAAACTTACCGCTTTAGGGAAACCAAAAAGAGTATTGCAATAGCATCACAAGAATCAAGATCGAACACGATTCGAACCCACAGATACAGGATTCAAGTACGCCTACTGAACACAGCTCTGCACTGCGATATTGATAGATCACATAGATGACTGGGACAACCACGGAGAAGGGTGAGGAGGGGTGAGGGGTGGTATAATGCACTTTACGGTATGACACATTATATTCTCACAATGTTTTTGAGGTTACACTTTAAAACAATACATGTCATCTTTTTAATCATTGACACTCGTGGTGTTTCTCGCTGAAGTTCAGTGCACATTATGTTATTAGTCACCGAAGAGCACGTACAATACCTCCCTGAATATTCACGGGCAAAGGGATATTTATCTCTCACTTTGGCAGTGAAATGTCTTGGGAAGGCAGGGAATCTTAAACATGTACTTGGTATTTTATATACACAGGCTTCATGTATACAAACTCCACATAACAATTTCACATTAAAATATAATATGACACATTCACATTGATTAAACATAAATCTGATTGTCCAAGAAATAAATATTATGCATGGATACCAAAGGTGGTACGTATCCTTTCTGCAATAACCCCTCGCAGCAGGCAGTGCTTATCATAGCATCGTCTGAATGATATAATGGTATGATATATATAACAGATGGCATGGCATCTACGGTGTTATTTATACTCATTCTGCCAACAACTGGATTGCCTTGTCCAGATTCGATCCAGTTACTACAATATATCAAAATGTACTAACAAATTCACAGGCGAATAGGCATAATGTGGGTTGAATATAGTCTACTCACATTTGAGAAGAAAAAATGTAATATGATATTTATGTAGATTCTGTGCATGGGAAGAAATGTCCTTGGGAAATTGTCCCAGTTGACATTTATTCCAAGGTTGTGATGTCCACAGGCATTTTCTGGACATGTTTTCTCACATGAATATTCTTTTCTCAGAAACCGCCGTGACCCGGACACATTAATCGTTTACAATAATACCTATACAATAATACCTATACAATAATACCTATACAATTAGTAGTCGAACCTCAATGAAAAAACGCCATTAAGAAACCACGAGTCAATGAGTACCATTGTATCACACCATTTAGTCGGTCAATTGACAGCAGGGGATTCAAGGAATACCAGCTTCACACATTGTACACATGCAGGCAGTCAAACTGTGTTTAATAATTCCCTGTGATGGAAAGGAGGACATCAGAAGCGCAGAGAGGAGTATAGCCCTAATGAATACACATGGTTGGTCCTGAATAGCGTCAACGGCCATTTGGCGATAAGCCTGTGCTCTCCACAGTTCGAATGACTTCCAAAAGGATGAAACGCAGGTCTGAGCCCGTTATTCGTTTAAAGAGCCCCTTTAATCCGTCGTATAAACTCTGCAGTTCAAGGATGTTGTTGTATACACCACTGATGGCTGTGCTGCAATGCCATGCGTGATGTCGTAGGCTACATCCATGCCGGGCGTGCTTTCATTCGTGCAGTTTACGTGTACACTTTTATCAACAGTTGTCATTTCAGACTTGGCATACCAGTACCAGCAGTTGTCATGACAGACTTGGCATACCAGTACCAGCAGTTGTCATGACAGACTTGGCATACCAGTACCAGCAATGGTCATTTCAGACTTGGCATACCGGAACCAACAGTTGCCACTACAGGCTTGGCATACCAGTACCAGCAATGGTCATTTCAGACTTGGCATACCGGAACCAACAGTTGCCACTACAGACTTGGCATACCGGAACCAACAGTTGCCACTACAGGCTTGGCATACGGGTAGTAACAGTTCTTGTTCCATATTTGGCATACCGGTACTAACAATAGCCATTACAATGAGTGAGAGTGTGAGTTCAGTTTTACGCCGCTTTTAGCAATATTCCACGGCGGGGGACACCAGAAATGGGCTTCACACATTATACCCATATGGGGAATCGATCCCGGGTCTTCGGCGTGACGAGCGAACGCTTTTACCACTCGGCTACTCCACCGCCCCTTGCCATTACAGACTTGATATACCGGTACCAATATTAGCCATGACAGACTTGTCATACCAGTACCGACACTTACCATTATAGACTTGATATACCGGTACCAATATTAGCCATGACAGACTTGTCATACCAGCACCGACACTTACCATTATAGACTTGATATACCGGTACCAATATTAGCCATGACAGACTTGTCATACCAGTACCGACACTTACCATTACAGACTTGATATACCGGTACAAGTATTGACTATTACAGACTTGTCATACCAGTACCGACACTTACCATTACAGACTTGATATACTGGTACCAATATTAGCCATGACAGACTTGTCATACCAGTACCGACACTTACCATTACAGACTTGATATACCGGTACCAATATTAGCCATGACAGACTTGTCATACCAGCACCGACACTTACCATTATAGACTTGATATACCGGTACCAATATTAGCCATGACAGACTTGTCATACCAGCACCGACACTTACCATTACAGACTTGATATACCGGTACAAGTATTGACTATTACCGACTTGTCATACCAGTACCGACACTTGCCATTACAGACTTGATATACCGGTACCAATATTAGCCATGACAGACTTGTCATACCAGCACCGACACTTACCATTATAGACTTGATATACCGGTACCAATATTAGCCATGACAGACTTGTCATACCAGCACCGACACTTACCATTATAGACTTGATATACCGGTACCAATATTAGCCATGACAGACTTGTCATACCAGTACCGACACTTACCATTACAGACTTGATATACCGGTACCAATATTAGCCATGACAGACTTGTCATACCAGCACCGACACTTACCATTATAGACTTGATATACCGGTACCAATATTAGCCATGACAGACTTGTCATACCAGTACCGACACTTACCATTATAGACTTGATATACCGGTACAAGTATTGACTATTACAGACTTGTCATACCAGTACCGACACTTGCCATTACAGACTTGATATACCGGTACCAATATTAGCCATGACAGACTTGTCATACCAGCACCGACACTTGCCATTATAGACTTGATATACCGGTACCAATATTAGCCATTACAGACTTGTCATACCAGCAACGACACTTACCATTACAGACTTGATATACCGGTACCAACACTGGCCATTATAGACTTGTCATACCAGTAGCAACATTTACAATTATAGACTTGATATACCGGTACCAACATTTGCCATTATAGACTTGTCATACCAGAACCAACAGTTGTCATTTCAGACTTGGCATACCAGTTGTCATTTCATCACGGAAGTTGTACACAAATCTTTACATACATCTTTGCATGATTCTTACACGTTGCCATTTTCCATACTCATAACTTTATCATTAATTCTAATTATTGTTATATTTTATTCTCTGGTCCCTTCAGATTTTATTGTTATGTTGAATTAGTAGACCAGTCTTATTGTGTATACTTTTAGGGTTTCAGCTCCAAACTGTAATGCTGTAATTATTCAAATCTGCGCAATACAAACCATATATCTACGTGGGAGTAATGTTCAGTGCCGTCGGAGAACGACCAGGGCCACACATTCATCCAGACACATTTCAGATCCATCTGTCTCTGACTTAGAAGACAAGAGTTGGGCGCACGAGGACATTTTATAGGCTACCTCAAGCAACAACGATTTGTGCCACTGATTCCCATAAAACCTTATATTCAGAAAGGTTTGAGAGGGTTTGTCCCGTTGAACTAAGGGGGTCGTATTTTGATGATATGATGTGCCCCTGCATCACTTTGGCTGCATATAAATGTTCTCACTCAGACTTGTCACCTAGAATCCTTCCTGGTATTACTACACGGTGGCTATACTGGAATGAAAGACTTCAATGTAAGGCAGATGACACAGCATATCAGAATATCATTTTGAACATGGGATGTGTAAACCCTAAATAAAGAGATAAAACAAAACCCCTAACAGTTAAAACAACAAACGTGATGATGATGATGATGATGATGATGATGATGATGATGATGATGATGATGATGATGATGATGATGTCACAAGACATATACAGCGTTAGTTTGTCCAAAACAATACCTTGTCGCGGAATTACTGCTTTTTCGTCAGAAAGGCATTCCAGACTTTGCATACAAAATTGTTCTTTAATATTTTCTACGTTTTGCGAGAATGTGAGCTTATTCAAGACACGTGGAATAGGGACCAAACGCGTTTCGGATACAGGTCTGATAAACAAGGTTTTACTTTATAGAAAAGGTTGGGAAAAGGTTCCTTTGAAGTATCCTATTCAAACAATGTAATATTAGTGAGTTGATTGACACATAACAGTGAAAGCAAACATTGCGATATAATAGCTTTTTCACTGCGCTTCGGTGAGAAACGACCGTTTCATAACATCAGAGAAATTCTTTGTAAATTTGTCACCCACCATGTTTTAGCAGAACCGCCTGGCTACTGATGTGAACAGCACGCTTGTCTAAGTTTAGAAAGCAGTCCCAAACCTTACTCACTGATGAATATTTGTCCTGCCATATTTTATGCATTAAGTGCAAATCTATATATGTCTCCACAGCAGCACACAAGTGTATTACTGCTTTAGTGATACGGACGTGTGAACAAGCATATAAAAGTTGATTGCCTTTCACTTTCAACAGGCTGTCCCGGACACAGCGTTTACAACCTGCGGGTTCTAATTCAGCAGATATCTGTTATGCGATAATACAATCTGTAAGAGATTCGGAACTAGTTCGTGTATTCGTTACAGTTACCAATACAAGATGGTTGCTTGTGTCGGAGTCGGTTCCTGGTACAAATAACGTCTAAAGGGTTAGTCATTGATTTTGTTGAAGAGGCCCCGAAACCAAACCGGTCGGTGGAACAAACGACACCGTCTCCACTTCCGTGGCTGAAGGACAATGGAACTATAGGTGTATGTATTCAAGAAGAGATTCTTCCACCTGGACACGGGCGACCATGAGACTCTTCTGGAGAGGCGTCCCTAGAATCTATTCATCCCCCATCGTCATCAGCGGAAACGAGGGAATTGTGAGTTAACGCTCTTCACCATCTTCTTCTCCTGTTTGTATTCGCTCTTTCCTACTTAAATGATCGATCAAGCATCACTGTAATCTTTTACACCATTTAACCCCCGTTTATGATTAACTTTCCTTAATAAACTGCTTGATAAAAGATGCTATACACCCATGTTTGATGGGGCTAAAAATGAAAGAAAAAAGAAATGAGTATTCGATTATGATGTATGTCATACGGGTATCACAGGCGATATGATATTGGTAGTATCAATTCACGTCCCAAGGAACCAGGTGGTCGCAAGTTGACCGTGCACAGCAATAAGCAGTGAGAAGCAGGTGTTTTATAGCGCATACCTCACCCAAACAGTGTTGTCATGGAAGGTTATATTTTTAAAACATCGTTTCTCACCACAGAATAACCATCGCCCCATCATGTGTTTCCGCACTAGTTGGTTTACTGAATATGCATAACGACCATTCAAGTATACTGTGTATGTTTCAAGTGTGTTAACATGTGTTAAACTTATGTGTAACATATGTTAAGAAGACCTGCATTCCTTAATGTTCCTGTACGTTTGCACTGACGTAACCCAAGTCAGATCTTGTGATGTTTGGTCGAGTAATTCTTCACAGGGGTAAATTACACGAAATCTACCAACCATAATGCCGTTGCAATGTAACAATGGAAGTTCCTCTAGAGGGTATGCACGCGGCAGCGAACGTCCGAAACGACCCTGTTATTACACAAATGGCATGTGCATATTATCTGACAATGGGATCATTCATGAAACATGTATTTCTTCCAATCGACGGACGTCAGTTATACTTACTGTTAGCCAAGCACAGCATTCCACTGATGTTAGTCCTTAAAAACAGGTGCAGCTTAACCTGTTTTCAAACTCTCTTAAGCGTTGCAGATACACATATTAACAAGCGTCAGCCATAATATCTGTAATTGAGGATGTTGGACACGCCTTCGGATGCAATAACAAATCAGCTTCGCCCGAACATGTTTACGCTGGTAAAATAAAGTTTATTTTGAAAAGTTTATTTTTTTGCTAGAGTACTTTGTAAAAGTTTCAAATGACTGCAATACCACACTCGGATACATATTTCGTACAGGTTGTAACTGATATTTGATAAATATTTGACTGAAAGGGACAATTATGAACGTGTGGTGAACTTGTAGCGCCACAAGCCGCAACGAATGCAGTGGTAACCTTTCAAAGTGTTATTACTGTGTTACTGTTTTTATCATCACGAGGTGTGCTATTTGTTGTTGCTATCATGACGTGGTATGATTGTTACTGTTTTTATCATCACGAGGTGTGCTATTTATTGTTGTTGTCATGACGTGGTATGATTGTTACTGTTTTTATCATCACGAGGTGTGCTATTTCTTGTTGTTGTCATGACGTGGTATGAGTGTTACTGTTTTTATCATCACGAGGTGTGCTATTTGTTGTTGCTATCATGACGTGGTATGATTGTTACTGTTTTTATCATCACGAGGTGTGCTATTTATTGTTGTTGTCATGACGTGGTATGATTGTTACTGTTTTTATCATCACGAGGTGTGCTATTTGTTGTTGCTATCATGACGTGGTATGAGTGTTACTGTTTTTATCATCACGAGGTGTGCTATTTGTTGTTGTTATCATGACGTGGTGTGAGTGTTACTGTTTTTATCATCACGAGGTGTGCTATTTGTTGTTGTTGTCATGACGTGGTATGATTGTTACTGTTTTTATCATCACGAGGTGTGCTATTTGTTGTTGTTATCATGACGTGGTGTGAGTGTTACTGTTTTTATCATCACGAGGTGTGCTATTTGTTGTTGGTCATGACGTGGTATGAGTGTTACTGTTTTTATCATCACGAGGTGTGCTATTTGTTGTTGTTGTCATGACGTGGTGTGAGTGTTACTGTTTTTATCATCACGAGGTGTGCTATTTGTTGTTGTTGTCATGACGTGGTATGAGTGTTACTGTTTTTATCATCACGAGGTGTGCTATTTGTTGTTGTTGTCATGACGTGGTATGATTGTTACTGTTTTTATCATCACGAGGTGTGCTATTTGTTGTTGTTGTCATGACGTGGTATGAGTGTTACTGTTTTTATCATCACGAGGTGTGCTATTTGTTGTTGTTGTCATGACGTGGTGTGATTGTTACTGTTTTTATCATCACGAGGTGTGCTATTTATTGTTGTTATCATGACGTGGTATGAGTGTTACTGTTTTATCATCACGAGGTGTGCTATTTGTTGTTGTTGTCATGACGTGGTATGATTGTTACTGTTTTTTTATCATCACGAGGTGTGCTATTTATTGTTGTTGTCATGACGTGGTATGAGTGTTACTGTTTTTATCATCACGAGGTGTGCTATTTATTGTTGTTGTCATGACGTGGTATGAGTGTTACTGTTTTTATCATCACGAGGTGTGCTATTTGTTGTGGTTGTCATGACGTGGTATGATTGTTACTGTTTTTATCATCACGAGGTGTGCTATTTATTGTTGTTGTCATGACGTGGTATGAGTGTTACTGTTTTTATCATCACGAGGTGTGCTATTTATTGTTGCTATCATGACGTGGTATGAGTGTTACTGTTTTTATCATCACGAGGTGTGCTATTTATTGTTGTTGTCATGACGTGGTATGAGTGTTACTGTTTTTATCATCACGAGGTGTGCTATTTGTTGTTGTTGTCATGACGTGGTATGATTGTTACTGTTTTTATCATCACGAGGTGTGCTATTTGTTGTTGTTGTCATGACGTGGTGTGAGTGTTACTGTTTTTATCATCACGAGGTGTGCTATTTGTTGTTGTTATCATGACGTGGTGTGAGTGTTACTGTTTTTATCATCACGAGGTGTGCTATTTGTTGTTGCTATCATGACGTGGTATGAGTGTTACTGTTTTTATCATCACGAGGTGTGCTATTTGTTGTTGTTGTCATGACGTGGTATGAGTGTTACTGTTTTTATCATCACGAGGTGTGCTATTTGTTGTTGTTGTCATGACGTGGTATGAGTGTTACTGTTTTATCATCACGAGGTGTGCTATTTGTTGTTGTTGTCATGACGTGGTGTGAGTGTTACTGTTTTTATCATCACGAGGTGCTATTTGTTGTTGTTGTCATGACGTGGTATGAGTGTTACTGTTTTATCATCACGAGGTGTGCTATTTATTGTTGTTGTCATGACGTGGTGTGAGTGTTACTGTTTTATCATCACGAGGTGTGCTATTTTGTTGTGGTTGTCATGACGTGGTATGAGTGTTACTGTTTTTATCATCACGAGGTGTGCTATTTATTGTTGTTGTCATGACGTGGTGTGAGTGTTACTGTTTTTATCATCACGAGGTGTGCTATTTATTGTTGTTATCATGACGTGGTATGAGTGTTACTGTTTTTATCATCACGAGGTGTGCTATTTGTTGTTGTTGTCATGACGTGGTATGAGTGTTACTGTTTTTATCATCACGAGGTGTGCTATTTGTTGTTGTTATCATGACGTGGTGTGAGTGTTACTGTTTTTATCATCACGAGGTGTGCTATTTGTTGTTGTTGTCATGACGTGGTAGTGAGTGTTAGTGTTACTGTTTTATCATCACGAGGTGTGCTATTTGTTGTTGTTATCATGACGTGGTGTGAGTGTTACTGTTTTTATCATCACGAGGTGTGCTATTTGTTGTTGTTGTCATGACGTGGTGTGAGTGTTACTGTTTTTATCATCACGAGGTGTGCTATTTATTGTTGTTGTCATGACGTGGTGTGATTGTTACTGTTTTTATCATCACGAGGTGTGCTATTTGTTGTTGTTGTTATCATGACGTGGTGTGAGTGTTACTGTTTTATCATCACGAGGTGTGCTATTTATTGTTGTTGTCATGACGTGGTATGAGTGTTACTGTTTTTATCATCACGAGGTGTGCTATTTGTTGTTGTTGTCATGACGTGGTATGAGTGTTACTGTTTTATCATCACGAGGTGTGCTATTTGTTGTTGTTGTCATGACGTGGGTGAGTGTTACTGTTTTTATCATCACGAGGTGTGCTATTTGTTGTTGTTGTCATGACGTGGTATGAGTGTTACTGTTTTTATCATCACGAGGTGTGCTATTTGTTGTTGTTATCATGACGTGACGTGGTATGAGTGTTACTGTTTTTATCATCACGAGGTGTGCTATCACGAGGTTGTTGTTGTCATGACGTGGTATGAGTGTTACTGTTTTATCATCACGAGGTGTGCTATTTATCATCATGACGTGGTGTGAGTGTTACTGTTTTTATCATCACGAGGTGTGCTATTTGTTGTTGTCATGACGTGGGTATGAGTGTTACTGTTTTTATCATCACGAGGTGTGCTATTTGTTGTTGCTGTCATGACGTGGTGTGAGTGTTACTGTTTTTATCATCACGAGGTGTGCTATTTGTTGTTGTTGTCATGACGTGGTATGAGTGTTACTGTTTTTATCATCACGAGGTGTGCTTACTATTTGCTGTTGTTGCTGACGTGGTTGTCATGACGTGGTGTGAGTGTTACTGTTTTATCATCACGAGGTGTGCTATTGTTGTTGTTGTCATGACGTGGTATGAGTGAGTGTTACTGTTTTTATCATCACGAGGTGTGCTATTTGTTGTTGTTGTCATGACGTGGTATGTGAGTGTTACTGTTTTTATCATCACGAGGTGTGCTATTTGTTGTTGTTGTTGTCATGACGTGGTATGATTGTTACTGTTTTTCATCATCACGAGGTGTGCTATTTATTGTTGTTGTCATGACGTGGTATGAGTGTTACTGTTTTTATCATCACGAGGTGTGCTATTTATTGTTGTTGTCATGACGTGGTATGAGTGTTACTGTTTTTATCATCACGAGGTGTGCTATTTGTTGTTGTTATCATGACGTGGTATGAGTGTTACTGTTTTTATCATCACGAGGTGTGCTATTTGTTGTTGTTGTCATGACGTGGTATGATTGTTACTGTTACTGTTTTATCATCACGA